TTTTCCCCCAGTACTGGGGATCAAACTGAGGTCCTTACACTCGCCAGGCAGCCAGGGGGCCACTGAGCTATATCCCCAGCCCCTCTATAGAATTTCTAACACAAAATTCCCATACCTTTAAAATTCAATTCCCAGTGAACTTAAATTAGGATCATATGTAAGTTTAGCACGGAACTTATAAAGAAGGAAGGTTTAAGTAAAACATAACTGCCATGGAAATCTTTTAGGAAAATCTCTATATGAAAAATTCTACCTGAAGGAAGGTGCTGGTATAACCTGTTGCTTTTAGAACAGGAAGCTGGTCGTCATCAGAGAGGAAAAACTTACACATTGTAAGGGCATCAATAAGCACTAAACTCACCTGTATCCCTTCCATAAAATCTTCAGGTTCTGGAAATTTATCATCAAGCCAGCTCTCCTAAAACAATGACTGACAATATAACCAAGGTAAATGACTGATGTTTTGTTTGATTGGTAGGATCTTAAATAACATCTAAATCTAGGCAAATTTGAGCAAAATCTGAAGCTGTCAACATAGCTGATGCATTATTGTTCCAGCAGCAGTCTTCCAGGGCAACCTGCTTAGGAAAGTTGGATGCATCACAACATATGCCCCTTTCTGATGCAGGATTAACAAAGTCCTCTCTCTGTGTCTGCTGCAACAGAATCTGTTTATATTTATTAGGCATTTGAATGGATTTACACATCAAACTACTTCCTTGCTGTAAAAGCAATATTACTAGCTAGAACTGATATTAGCATCCCGTTCAATGACATGACTTTACAAACCAGATAGAACTATTCTCATCACAAGGCCTTCTACTTCGTGAGAATTCATTATAAATATTTGGCTTAATTTTTACAACCGGAAAACAGGCACAAACATTTACAAGACAGGCCCAGTGAGTAATACCTGCTTGCCTCATGAGATTGTTCTGAGGATCAAATTACATAGTATACAAAGAGCTCAGTGAACATAAAAAAATACTCCAGTTCTCACAGTAAGGAATAAAACCATGATTAGATCATAGCCACCACATATATCTCCTAAGACAATGCTACCCGAGGGTAGATGTAACAGAAATTACCTGGAAATCTTGCCGAAGCACAGAAACTATCTGGGTAGGGATGGAGCTGGGGCTAAGATTTGTATATCTACCAATCGATGAAGGATGTTAACACCAGCTCTGGTTCTAAACAGCCATTCTAACTTGGTGCATGGTCAACATTAAAGGGCACATTCCTGGGTATATAAAGGCCTTAAGGTGAGCTTTGGAATAAATCTGTACACCATTTGGCTGAATATAAGACTTTACAAACTCGAGAGCAGAATGGTCTTTCTTGCATAAAAAACTAATGGTTTGGTTTTGAATTACTTTTTGGTGATTTCCAGTTTTCCAGGACGAGAGTCCTCAATAGATTAACAACATAAAGCTATGTCACTAGTTTACAATTGCATGATTTCAGTTTACCTCCAAAGAGTGGGGAGAAGTCTGTACTTGAGGTACACATGTGCACACACACTCCCTACAAGGAAAATCTGGATTTTCAAAGACTCTAGGTTGACAGGAGACCGACTGTCTCCTCTATCTAAAGAAGAGTTCTCACAAGCTGAACAAACAAGGAACATGAAGAAAGGCCGCTGCCTCCTGATACAGAAATACTGTGCTCCAGATACAAAGTCGGGAGGGATGAAAAGAAGCCAACAGCATCCACAGGCCAGTGGTTCACCAACATGGTTCTCCTGGGAGCGTTGGGGAAAACACAGTTAGCTCAGCCCCTTAGTGCTCCTGACTGAATAAACCCAGGACGGTGCTGATGTTGTGGGTCCATGGACCCAACTTCAAGTAGTACTGAGTCCAGACAGCAACTTTTCCGAGGGGTGGGACTGCATCTCACTCACAGATGTACCCTGGTCCTACCACATACAGTTGACTCCCAGTAAATACTTGCCATGGGCCGGGGATTTAGCTCAGTGGTTCCACCACCTGCCTTGCAAAGTACAAGGTCCTGAGTTCAATCCCCGGTACCAAAAAAAAAAAAAAAAAAAAAAT